TTGCAGGACTTGCCCTACCTAATTTCAAGACTTACTTTAAGGCTACAGTAATCAAGACAGTTTGGTATTGATAAAAAAAATAGACATATAGATAAGTGGGGGAAAAAGGCAGTACGGAAATAGAGCTACATATATATGAACACTTGATTTTTCATAAAGGTGTAAAGACAATGGAGAAAAGAAAGTCTTCAACGAATGGTGCTGTATCAATTGGATATCCATATGGAACAAAATGAACATCAGAGTTTACCTCACACTATACACAAAAATGAACACGAAATGGTTCATAGACCAAAATGGAAGGCCTAAAACTATATAAAACTATGAGAAGGAAACATAGAAGAAAACCTTCATAACTTTGGATTAGGAAGTATATTTCTTAGAACACAATTATAAAAAAAAAGTAGATAAAATGGACTTCATAAAAATTTAAAAGTTTTGTTCTTTGAAAGAAACCATTAGGTAAATGAAAAGGCAAGGCAAGGCTGAGAGAAAAATTCACAATGTATATATCAGATAAAAAACTTGAATCTATAATTTCTAAAGAACTCTTGCAATTCAGTAATGACAGGACAAATAACCCAATTGAAAAAGGGCAAACTATTTGAACAGATATTTCACAAAAGAAGATATATGCATGGCTAATGAGTATATGAAAAGGTGCTGAACCGCATTAGTCACAAAGAAATGCAAATCAAAACCAGAAGATACCACTACACCCTTTAGAATGGTTAACATTTTAAAATATTAACAAAAATAACCTGATCATATTAAGTGTTGGTGAGGATGTGGAGAAATTAGAACTTCCCTACTCTACTGACCGGAATATAAAACTTGGAAAACAGTTTGGCAGTTTCTTACAAATTAAACATACAACCTCCATACTATATAGCCATTTCATTCCTAGGTATTTATCCCAGAAAAATAAAAACATATGTCCACATAAAAATGTGTATGTGCATGTTCATATCAGCTTTATTTATAATAGCCAAAATTGAAAAGTACCTAAATGTACATCAACAGATGAATGGGTAAATATTCACCATACCATGGAATACTATTCAGCAATAGAAAGGAATACACTATTATTACATGCAAAATTATTATGTTCAATGAATGAATCCAGACAAAAATATAAGAGAGTATGTGTTTTATGATTCAATTTATATAAAAATACTATAAAATGCAAACTAAAGTGACAGAAAGAGATCAGAGGTTGCCTGGAGATGAAGATGGAGAGGGGGATGGATTACAAATGGGAAAGAAAAGACTTTTTTTGGAGCTGATGAAAGTGTTTGCTATTTTGCTATTTTTTTAGTATTTTAGGTTTGCTGTTTTGGTTGTTGTCATGGTTTCACAGGTTTAAATATATGTAAAATGGATTAAATAGAATACATTAAATATGTGCTTTTAAAACTTTAATTATATCTCAATAAAGCTAAAATAATTACTCACATGTAGATACGGACTGAAAGTGGTAATCTGTTTTGGTGTTTTATTCTTGCAATATTTGGATTATTTGTTTTTGCTTTTTTCATTGTAAGTTCACTTTTTCCTTGCTGGCTGTCCTGGCTCTTTGAGGTGCTATGACAAAATACGATAGACTAAGTGGCTTAAAACAGAAATTTATTTCCCACAATTCTGGAAGCTGGGAAGTCTAAGATCAAGGCACCGGCAGATTCAGTGTCTGATGAGGGCCTGCTTCCTGGTTCATAGAAAGAGTGAGGGAGCTCTCTGGGGTCTCTTTTATAAGGACACTAATCCTATTTACGGGGACTCTGCCGTCATGACCTAATCACCTCCCGAAGGCCTCACCTTCTAATACCATTGCCTTGGCAGTTAGAAATTCAACATTTTAATTTTGGGGGGCGGGGGACACAAATATTCAGTCCATGGCACTGGCTTTTTAAATGACCCTCTCAATGATATCTCCACTTTCTGTAATTTGAAGACAGCAGCATATGCTACTGTGTAAGATTAGACTGATCTGATTCTCCTCTTCTTAGAGGCCTCCTCAGTCTTTTTCCCCTTAATTACCAGGCATCTATCCCAAGCCTTGCTCCAAAACCTATACAAATATACATTTTCCTCAAGACACCAAAAATTTACAAACATGAATGTATAAATGGCTGATAGGGATAAATGTAGTAGGCCCTTTTCTTGATTCTTGGTTTATTTACTTTTGTTGGTTTTCATAAAACATTCATTTTGTTTCCTTGCTGGTCTCTTTGGAGACACTCACTGCCGTCTCTCTGTTGTCACCTTAAAAAAAACTGTATTGCCCACCAAGAGCAGGGAAAGTTGACTCTCCCATGGGATTTATAAATTAATGGAAGTGTTCACTGTGGTAGCTCAGTTCTTCTTCCAACAATCACCTTCTGATCCAGTCTCCTCTTACTTTTTCTAGAAAGTTCTGTCTTTACTCGTCCACCCTTGCAGAGACACCCAGAAAAGGAAGTTTCCTTCAATTCTTTTTCAAGCAATCATATTTTGATCATGGTCACCAAACTTTAGTTCTTCTAGAAAGTTCTGTACTCATGCCTTGCCATCATGGAAACTCCCAGGAGAGAGGTCTTAATTTGGTTTTCCTTCAACCAATCACATTGTTACCCCATTCCCTGAATTTTACTACTTCCAGCAAAATTCTGTCCTTATCATCCCACTCTCCCAGAAACACCA